AATTCCGTAGAGTATGAATTTAATTTCTCTAACCTTTATGATAGTATTGTGTGTATTAAACTTTATAGCTATTCACTAAATCACCTTTCGCTTTTGGCAGAATTTTTAGAGAAATCATTTTCAGACAAGTTAATGTATATTCTAATGGAAATCTAATGCTGCTTTTGATGAAGAAAATACACCCAGTATTGGCCACATAATGTTGAATATGATCCTCATAATCTTTTTGAACAAGGTCGATAAATCTGTGAATAGGAATCAAAATGTTCCACACTGTTGTCGTCTCGAAAGTAAACTGCTACCCTAAGGTCAATGAGTTTCTTCGTTTCTGGGCGGATGCTATAAGATCCAACGTGATTAGTTTTTCAATGAGAAAATTTTCAGTGACCAAAGGTTATGTAAATTCAATTGTTAATAATGTTTAAATGTTTCATTTAACAATTTCATTAGTCAGAATTTAAAAAAAATAAATTAGTTGCTTACAGGTATGTGCTGCTATAAAAGGAATTTTCTTTGTCGATCATAAATAAAAACAGTCTTAACTGTAAACAATTTTATTCGAATTCCATTTAGTGGCATCCTTGAAAAAAAAGAATAACTTCATATTCACTCGGGAATTTTAAACACATTGTCTTTAACATAGGCACTAGTGTTGAATGGATTGATGGCATCCTCAAGTCGCTGTACAGCTTTCTGTCTTAACATAAAAGCATCATGAATTTTAATCGATGATAAGTAGTCGCATAATATCACCATTTTGTTCGCTTGTTTCATCATACGATGATAAATCGTCTAACTATATCACCATTTTGTTCGCTTGTTTCATCATACGATGATAAATCGTCTAACTATATCACCATTTTGTTCGCTTGTTTCATCATACGATGATAAATCGTCTAACTATATCACCATTTTGTTCGCTTGTTTCATCATACGATGATAAATCGTCTAACTATATCACCATTTTGTTCGCTTGTTTCATCATACGATGATAAATCGTCAAACTATATCACCATTTTGTTCGCTTGTTTCATCATACGATGATAAATCGTCTAACTATATCACCATTTTGTTCGCTTGTTTCATCATACGATGATAAATCGTCTAACTATATCACCATTTTGTTCGCTTGTTTCATCATACGATGATAAATCGTCTAACTATATCACCATTTTGTTCGCTTGTTTCATCATACGATGATAAATCGTCTAACTATATCACCATTTTGTTCGCTTGTTTCATCATACGATGATAAATCGTCTAACTATATCACCATTTTGTTCGCTTGTTTCATCATACGATGATAAATCGTCTAACTATATCACCATTTTGTTCGCTTGTTTCATCATACGATGATAAATCGTCTAACTATATCACCATTTTGTTCGCTTGTTTCATCATACGATGATAAATCGTCTAACTATATCACCATTTTGTTCGCTTGTTTCATCATACGATGATAAATCGTCTAACTATATCACCATTTTGTTCGCTTGTTTCATCATACGATGATAAATCGTCTAACTATATCACCATTTTGTTCGCTTGTTTCATCATACGATGATAAATCGTCTAACTATATCACCATTTTGTTCGCTTGTTTCATCATACGATGATAAATCGTCTAACTATATCACCATTTTGTTCGCTTGTTTCATCATACGATGATAAATCGTCTAACTATATCACCATTTTGTTCGCTTGTTTCATCATACGATGATAAATCGTCTAACTATATCACCATTTTGTTCGCTTGTTTCATCATACGATGATAAATCGTCTAACTATATCACCATTTTGTTCGCTTGTTTCATCATACGATGATAAATCGTCTAACTATATCACCATTTTGTTCGCTTGTTTCATCATACGATGATAAATCGTCTAACTATATCACCATTTTGTTCGCTTGTTTCATCATACGATGATAAATCGTCTAACTATATCACCATTTTGTTCGCTTGTTTCATCATACGATGATAAATCGTCTAACTATATCACCATTTTGTTCGCTTGTTTCATCATACGATGATAAATCGTCTAACTATATCACCATTTTGTTCGCTTGTTTCATCATACGATGATAAATCGTCTAACTATATCACCATTTTGTTCGCTTGTTTCATCATACGATGATAAATCGTCTAACTATATCACCATTTTGTTCGCTTGTTTCATCATACGATGATAAATCGTCTAACTATATCACCATTTTGTTCGCTTGTTTCATCATACGATGATAAATCGTCTAACTATATCACCATTTTGTTCGCTTGTTTCATCATACGATGATAAATCGTCTAACTATATCACCATTTTGTTCGCTTGTTTCATCATACGATGATAAATCGTCTAACTATATCACCATTTTGTTCGCTTGTTTCATCATACGATGATAAATCGTCTAACTATATCACCATTTTGTTCGCTTGTTTCATCATACGATGATAAATCGTCTAACTATATCACCATTTTGTTCGCTTGTTTCATCATACGATGATAAATCGTCTAACTATATCACCATTTTGTTCGCTTGTTTCATCATACGATGATAAATCGTCTAACTATATCACCATTTTGTTCGCTTGTTTCATCATACGATGATAAATCGTCTAACTATATCACCATTTTGTTCGCTTGTTTCATCATACGATGATAAATCGTCTAACTATATCACCATTTTGTTCGCTTGTTTCATCATACGATGATAAATCGTCTAACTATATCACCATTTTGTTCGCTTGTTTCATCATACGATGATAAATCGTCTAACTATATCACCATTTTGTTCGCTTGTTTCATCATACGATGATAAATCGTCTAACTATATCACCATTTTGTTTCATCACAAAACTACTGTTTTGTGTACATTAATACAATCATATAAAAATATTCTATGTATTTAACACGTATTATAATTCGAAATGAAGCGACAAATGACGTTAATACGCCGTGCAAAGAAAAGGTGTAACTCTTAAGGCATCCGACTGTATTTCAAAGAAATATTGCAGTATTATTATTAATTCTGTTTCGTCAAGGAAATAAGTATGTTCTATCATACAATACATATAATATTACATCTGTGCTCATTTCATATGAAATTACGCAAATCAATGAATACATTTTGCCCACATAGGCTCTCAAAAATATTAATTATTTGACTTGTATGTAAATCTTATCTGAAATTATTTCTCATTTAAGTTCCTCTGTGTACTAGAATTTATAAATCAACCACTTACTTAGTTGTAATATGTCAATCCACCATGTATCGCTTTGGCCTGTCTAATTTTCTTATTTTCCAGACTGACTCGCAGCATATAATAGACAATAAATGTTCTCAGAGGGTTAGGGTTAGATCTTTTTGACAATTGAACAATTAGTTTTCAGCTTTGAATATTTTAACTGTTGTTCCTTTTTCTCGATTTTTCCCTCACATGTTTAAAAACAAAATGAGTATATTTATTAAGTACAACAAGTTCTATGTAAAATCATTGTTTGTGTCTTGTCTCAAACTGGTAATAAACTGTATGATCTGTGTAACTGGTTGACATGATATAAAATTGTTTGTTTTGTCTAATTTAACTCACTATCATTTATCTTAACATCTACGTCCAAAGAAACGCATCTCTGTAGTATCATGCTAATTCCACCTCGAGTTTTGCTATGACCTCTGACCTCTATACACTCCTTTCCTTATGTAGTGATCATGATCTCATATTTGCATAGTTTCTGTCGAAAACTGCTATGCAAAATATTAAATAAACGTTCTACATCCATGCTACAGTTTATTATATTCATACGTCTTGTTCTATGGCAAAATTCTTTCCCTTCATTTTCCCAATCCTTTAACAGGTAGTCTCATTAGTTTGACTGTTAAGTCTAGCTGTACTTTTAGAAACCCATTTGTAAAAGTTTTCAAGTGATGATTGTCTTTGCGTGCTATTAAATAGTATCTTAAATTTCATACAAATTTTGCATGTTTACGCATTAAAATCTGTGTATATTTAAATTTTCTTTAAATGAATCTTTAAGTCTTTTCATTATGACCATGCTTAAACTGGGCTTGTGTATACATCCTAAACTTTTTTAGACATATTTATGGAGCTGACAATATTTTTCTAATTTGCTTTGGAATAGGTTCGTCAATTATTCGTTACTATTGGTTTATTTAACTTGCAGGATTTAAGTATAGAGTCCGTTGGTAATGGATGATACTTTTCGTCCGCAATGACCTTTTTCTTGTTGCTGTCAATGTTCATTTGCTATGCTATCCTATGCTTGATACCCTTCACCAGTGTTCACCAAACGTGCTGAAATATTTTTGATTAAATAAAACGTTTCTTCTCTGTGAGATCATTTGTTGTGCATGATTGAAGATTGTACTACTTAAAAGTTTTAAGTGGATAACGTGTATTTTCCTATCCCAGTTCTACTCAATTTACAAGTGAACCAGAAATCGTGATTATATAGATTGTTTACCATTTTTCGGGAGAGGGGAACAAGATGCCCTATGCAATAACAATAACGATGGTAAGGTTGAATTACAATTTAAAAGAGTCACTGGCTTCAAGTAGATTGGTGTTTATCTGACGTTTTCTTTAACGCGTTACTCTGTAGCAAATAGATACCGCCATCGCTGTCATAATAGTTCATGTTCAATTTAGAATATGTTATGTATTTCAGGAACTTTACCATAGTGTGTTTTTATCTATGTCTCAACCTTGCTGTTCTAAATTTAAATTCTACATTAGCATTTTAGCAGTATCTTATATTATAGTATTCTAACAGTCGACGCAAAGCAAGCCGTTTATTGTACACGTGCATATACGATGCAGGTATATAAGGTTTAATGCTTTGATTTAGCCTTGAAATGCCTTCTCTGCCAGACGGTGGCTTTATTGTATTAGTGTACCTAATGTTGAATGGTTCTGAGAAGAGATACAAAAGTGTAAAAAATGTGCATAATCCTATTCTGTGTCATTTGTTTTATCAATTGACAATGCTCAGGTGGCCTTGTGGTTAGAGCGACCGCCTCGGATGCGGGAGGTCGTGGGTTCGGACCACGGCCGAGTCATACCAAAGACTTATAAAAATGGTACTAACAGCTGTCTCGCTTGGCGCTTAGCATTAAGAGGTTAGTGGTAGGACTGGTCTCCCTGTTAGAATAATGTGACTGGGTGGTACATGTTGCAACATGTCTGCGGCTCGGTGCCCCACAGCTAGATATCACTATAAACGGTCACACAGCAGTCATCGTAGCGATATGACTGATTTTTGTTTAAAATCTAAGTTAAAAATCCAAACACACAAATACAAACTATGACCAGTATTCAACTGTATATGCTTCATGTTGAAATTTATGATTACAAGCAGCTAACACAACAGCAGATGTTAATCCAGTTCATAATATGTTAAGCATACTGTTTGATATTTTATCAGGTATCTCTAATGATGCTTTTGACAGATTTTAATATGGTTGTATATCTAATTATCTAATTGTTATTTGATTTTTAAAGCATCGTGCTAGTGTAAAGGTATTTTGTAACAGTTTTCTTATCTAGAATTAGGCATAAATTAATTCGACCAGCTTTTGTGTGTTTTATATTAAACGTCAAAAGTAAATACCACATCCAGATTTTGTCATCACACTGCCCGGTTTAGCTGAATTTTCCAAAATGTCACCACACTGCCCAGTTTAGCTGAATTTTCTAAAATGTCATCACACTGCCCAGTTTAGCTGAATTTTCCAAAATGTCATCCCACTGCCCAGTTTAGCTAAATTTTCCAAAATGTCATCACACTGCCCAGTTTAGCTAAATTTTCCAAAATGTTATCACACTGCCCAGTTAAGCTGAATTTTCTAAAATGTCATCACACTGCCCAGTTAAAATATTTTTTTTTAAAAATGTCATCACACTGCCCAATTTAGATGAATGTTCCAAAATGTCATCACACAACCCAGTTTAGCTGAGTTTTCCAAAATATCGTCCAATCTCACTGTGATCTGTATCTTTACATAGAGTCGTATATGTTAAAATTTCAAGTGTAGCTGTCAAAATATTGAATGGATAAAATCTTTTAAAGAGTAGGTTATTTTAATCTCAGTAAATTTGTATGAAATATCGGGGTTCAACTGAGCTACACTACAGTGGTAAGGTTCTTTATAGAAATTTCTAAGCTTTGCTTAATCCGAAGTCCATCATTGAAAGTGGAGGCAGGTTAGAAGTAGAGACTACTGTTTTTGGACAGGAATTACGTCAATTTTTCAAAAGCAGTAACTTGCATTAGTTTCAATTACTATCAAATGAAAGTTATGAGAAAACAGAATACACAAGTTCAAAAATAATATTTATGTCTGCACAGTGTGAAAAATGCACTTGCAATTACTTTTTCAACTTCCTATTCCACATTATATATAAATTGTCTATTTAAGTATGTATGTATGTATGTATGTATGTATGTATGTATGTATGTATGTATGTATGTATGTATGTATGTATGTATGTATGTATGTATGTATGTATGTATGTATGTATGTATGTATGTGTGTGCGCGTGCGTGCGTGCGTGCGTGCATGCATGCATGCATGCATGCATGCATGTATGTATGTATGTACATACGTACGTATGTATGTATGTATGTAATTTGTAAGGGTTATTTGAAATACTATTAATTAGCATTCTTATGTAATCAACGTGCTCAGATCCATCCATCGCTTTTAAAGCTTAGAAGTAGTCCTATTCTTAAATCCAGGCAAACATCAGATGATCGGATTTCAGGACATACATTTTGAAAAGGCAGGGTAACATAATTATTGATTAACTAGTGCTATACGACGCTATGTATTGCGTATTGGTAATCTATATATGACACTTATTACGGTGAATAAGGTATTCCTAGTACAGTATATTATTGCCAGTCATAGAAGATATTTAGTTATATTAAAAGAATTCAAATTTGACAATGTTTTTAACTTTCAACACAAACAGACAACTAACATGAAGCTTTTCTCCTCACGCTAAGGACTTCATCAGCAGACTCATTTAATCTCTACTGACTGTTAACATCGCTCGATGCAATGGTGAGCCATGTTAAAATATTGTCCCAGATGTACAGCAGATAGTAACGGCCCCCGTCCCTGTTCAGCAGATAAATCAGTCTGCCAATGAAGTCTTTAGCGTGAGGAAGAAAGGTTCAGATTAACTTTCCCTGTATTGTCTAGGCTCGTACAAAGTAACATAAAAAGTGAATGTAACAATACTGGTTGTTTACTGAAATGAAAAAATCTCAAATCCAGTGAATAAAGATGTCAATGCAATAACATGTAATTATTGGAACAATAGTTCTCTAACATTCATTTACGGCATTTGCATATATAATAGTCTTTAAATAATTACTGTAAATTTATGGAAAATATATTTTGGTATTATATCATAGAGTCTTTTGTACAGTTGGTACAACAGAACTTTTCTGTACGCTTTTTGTAATATCACTGGAACTCATTCGGATTTCTCGATACCTTTGGAACTGATAGAACAATTACGGATGGTTAGAATTTCATTCTTCATACTGTAAATAATTTTTAATTTCTCACTTAGTACTTTAGGGAAATAAATTATATTTTAAACTATACAAAACCATATGGTTTTAACTCTCTTCTTTTATTTTGCCTTTGATATTTTTGGACTTGGCTATTTATTGTTTTTGCGGTATATGCTAATCTTACGTACTTGAACCGGAACATGTAGCTGTATTTTGTTTTTCTCAGTAGAACCAAATAAAAATGTCAGCCCTTCAACGCCAGGCTGTAAAACATGGAATAAGTGGCGGTTTACCCCCCATGCCGCCATCTGGCATTGGGTAACATTTGCATATTATCAAAGCGTAACTATTAAGTATAGTTTCGAGAAAATTAATTTTGTTCGGTTCATGTATTTTAAAAACAATAGCTTTGCGTTACTTATTTTCGAGGTTAACAACAGTGATGTATAACTTGTGCATAAAACAGAAGTCCGGACCACCTGCTTAACATATTCCCTGTTAATAATTATTTATTACTTATATAATTATTGTATGTAACTCGATCTTGCTTGATACCATACATCATCTGTGATGACGGTAAATACCTAACCATGGCTTTTATTTAAATCAAGGTCAGTAACCAAGTCTAAGAGTCACAATGCCTCTTAATCGTTTCGTTGCTTACATTTTAATGATAAATAATATATGTGCTATATATAGAACATATACTACATTTCGGCAAACTGGTGTTATATATTTATCTATCTAAATATGTATGTATGTATGTATGTATGTATGTATGTATGTATGTATGTATGTATGTATATATATATATATATATATATATATATATATATATATATATATATATATATATATATATATATTGCATTCATAATTTATAGATTAATTTGTAAGCAACCATAGGAGCTCCCTGTGATAAGGTGGTAAAAATAGAAATGTCTTGCAATGATCTGATGGTACTACTAAAAGCCAAGTAAAAAAAATTAGTTCTGACACAGCAATATTATTTCATGACAATATTTTGCAAGTCATATTTTTATTTTTCATATGATATTAAGTTTGTAAAAATGCATTTAAAATTTAGTAGTAGATCATTATATCTTGTTCATGTCAGCCTCCAGTGAAATGAATACATTTTAAATTTGTATTCATTATCTGTCGACCAGGCGAAATGAATCCAATTTGTGGCATACTTTGAACTTGTGCAGTAGGAGACCAGTGAGGCATAATTAGCATGGAGCATTATTTTATTATATCACACATATATAAATATAAACATTACATATCCAATAAATGATAAATTATCATGTAAGTTGCATTTTTCCATTGATGACATGAACTTAAGATTGTTTGGAGATCCAATTGTTTAAGAAAATGTGGGCACTTATTTTATGCAAGTTTAACATGTTAGACCTGGCTTCTATGGCAATCAGTTGTGATATAATTATTTACATCATTGTTTTAGAGAAAGAAGTAAGCAAATTTGATATTTAGATATTGAGGATACACCAAAACCTAAAAAAAAAGTGAAGTGAAGTAAATAATGTTTGATTTTCATTATAAGGTAAATGGTAGAGATTTGTATGCTGTAAGAATCTGTTGACTTTATTAAAAATTAATTGAACCTAAATTGTATGAGAAACTTTCATATTAAAATAATTTGGTAATTTGCCATTTGCTTTTGTCACTGACATATGTCTAAATACTGTCCTGACTACAAACTATGTGCTCTTATTCATTTCTTACTGGGATTGATAGGAATTAATGTTAGTTTAATTCATCAATCATTAATTTATGATTTGCTGTGTAAAATATTTTCATTGAACTGCTCATAATTTTTTTTTTATTATAATTATTATTTCATGTGTTTCGTATGTTGATTAATGGAAAGTCACTATTATATTTCATTCTGTGATAGAGAAGCCAAGATTTGCTTTACATGTAAGTACATATCTATAGTTGTTTTCTTGATACACATGATTGTACAGTGATATGAGCAATCTGAATACAGGGTGATATGTTGTACAAGCATTCTTAATTGAGACCACAGTATTAGAAGCTTGCACAGTAATTGCCAATTACTTGGCACTTGTCTGAGGAGGTGGCCTAATAAATACTGTTGTCATTTGTGTTTTAACAATTGTAAAACCATTTAGAGCATTGTCAACAGCAGGCTTAAACATAACCATGAAAAGCAATTTCAATTTGTCTGATGACTGATACTTCCATTTATGCTGCTGTTACCAGTGGTTATCCCCTCCCCAATTTATTTCTTCAGTCTATTTCTTTTACTTAGATCCATGATAAGGCATTCATGGCATCATGTGACATCAGCAAATTAATAAGGTCAGAAAATATATACATTAAAAACATTGGTTCAATAAATGTCTCCCTTCTGGAATTTCTACAGAAATACTGTTTATTTCATAGTCTATCACAGATTCCCCTATAATCTATATATTAAATACATTTTGTTCAACTAATACCTCCTTTCTGCATATCTATCAGTTTTAGAAAATACTTGTGCCA